CCCACCCACCGCCTCCCCTTAGTTGCCATAAATTGCCAGCCGCATCCATTCATATCTTGGGCTGCTTCCTGGCCCGCCATGCATCATCGTCAGCGGCATCATCGCCGCCTTGAATTATGCGCCAATAAATTTGTTTGCTGAAAATTCCACCTAAATCGGATTTCCCCCTAATTCAGTTGGAATTTAAAAATAAAATATATTTTTTATAATTTGGTATAAATATTGGGGAATTTATAATCTCATCTCCATGTTCATTCGCCAGTAAATATTAAATTATTAAAACTAATGAGGTTTTTAAGCATTGACATATGAAGTTCTGCCAAATGTATTCTTTATTTTTATAGATTTATATTTTTTATGGATCAAGGAAAGATTTAAAAATCATGTATAAAGGTGTATAAAAGTAGGCAATAAAACTAACGTGGTAAAATTAAATTGTTTCATACTTGCTTACACCTTTATAAGGGCTGTAAGTTTAAGCTGATTATTGCCCCACAAAGTAATAAAAAGAAATACTTGTAACTTTAGCTTAATGATATTATTGATAAGACTACTTTAACTTTCTTAACTTTCTTTCTTTGTTAAAAAATTCCACCTAAATCGGATTTCGCCCCTCAAGCAGCTAAAATTAAAAAATATATATATATATGTAATTATTTGGTGAGAATATTTGAGAACGATACTCGAATCTCCAGCGATGGCAGTCCCCTTTCCCTGTGCATTCGCTTGCGAACATTAAATTAGCGAACAGGATTCGACGGCCGGGCAACAGTGCGTATGATTAACACTAAATGCGTTCCCTGTCAAAGTGCATAATTTCAATTGGCAATGCAATTGCAGCCAAATGGAAAAATTGGGGGTGTTTGTATCTACGGCCTGTCACATAATTTTGCTTATTTTGGCAATTAGCTGGAAAATTGATGCTTCAAAATCAGAGTTCATTTGACGGCGAGGGTGATTCAAACAAACAAAATTGAGCAAAGAAAACAAATGGGGAATATTTAATTTTCTCTACAAATTACGTAAATCATTTTAATTCAGAATATTTGAAATATTTAATTTAAAATTCCATTTAACTTGGAATTCAGTTAAATTTAAATAGAGCGAGGGTGGACCGAACGATAAAGCTGAAAAATAAAGTATAATATTACAATTTTCAAGGCACCTTTAAAAATAAATAGTCCATTAAAACAACCTCTTAACCATATTTCGCTGATTTAAATATCCATATACTTTCCAATCTATTTTCCATACCAATCAACCATTTTAGCGGCCCATAAACAAATGGCTGTAAACACCGTAGATTTTATGCGCTTGTCAGATGATAAACTGCTCTGAAATTATGTTTATTAAACATTGAAGAATGCATCGCAAATCTTCTATGCATAAGTGACACTTTGCTCCCCGTTGGGAGGTTTTTATGGGGCCACGTAACTCAGGAGGGCAATGTTCGGGGGCAGATGAAAACTACTAAAGCAACCCACGTGAAAGTTATAACTTGGCATTAAATGCACAAAACCGAGCGTGGATATCGTGGATACACGGATCCCTAACACTCGCACTCGCACATCTGTGGCAATAAAATGCAGTTGACTGCCACGGGAGGCGGAGGCTGCGGCAGGGGGGCGTGGCAGGCAGCCAGGCAGGTCCTGTGAAGAGCATCTTCTCCTCTTCTTCAGATGGAACAGACACAATGCGACGGGGCAAATGTGTTGCGCATTTCGGTGGCAAAAGTTGCACAAATGTGTGAAAATTGTACAACACAAACAAGCGGAAAGGAAACAGGACCCCGGAGTCCTGGAGCACGGAGCCGGCAGGATACGGAGCTGGTGGCGAAACTTGCAGGACGAGTGTAAAATGCAATTGAAAAATGCCACAGTTTTGCATAAATCAGCAGGAAAGCGCCGAAAATGGGTGCACAAACAAGCAGCAACAACGCAGCCGGATCCGGCTGAACAACAATAACAAAAGGGCGAAAAGGACGAAGGAGGCAGGAGCAGGAGCAGGACGAAAAGCAGGAGCAGCACGAGGCAGGAGCTGGCAAACATGGCCGCAGGCAACCCGTAAACATGGCCAACATGTCGGCGGCGCTGGGAAAAGTCGGCAAATGGGGGGCACAGACCGCCGCAGATATAATTTACTGATAATGCAATTGCCGTTCGAGCAAACGCACGCGCCACCTGCTGCAGCATCGTCCTGGATATCCTCGTCCTCTTGCTACTGCTACCATCCCCCCCCTTTTCGCCCTTGTTGCATGGCCGACTAAGCAAGCAAACTTCCTAGAGCCCAAAACCGCTGAAATGTGCACAAAAAATTGAGCAATAACAATTACGCTAGCCACAACGAAGTTTTAATGCACTGCCAGGGCGGCGAAATGGTCAATAAAAAATACTTGGACTGGCAAATAGTTAAGAAAAGGTTGTATATACTTATTTGTGCCATTTAAAAAATTTGGGTATTTGGCTAATATTAAAAATCCAGGTAATTTAAATATAACCAACCTCAGTTTTTAATTTTTGTAGAATTTTAAATTTTATTTAAATTGAATATATGAAAAATATTGCAGAAATCACCAAGGATTTTACATAAAGGCTTTAGGTGTCTAAAAGTAGGCAATAGAAAATATTGTTGCATACTTTTCAACACTTGTATAACGATTTTAGATTTCAAGCTGCTTATAACCCTTAGTAAATGTAAAAAAAAAGTTATTTAATTGCATGTCAAACTTGATAAAGATATTTTTATTGTGTTTAAAAATAAGCATCACTTTTATTAAATAAATTCCTGTATAAATACCTTGCACAATGTAATAAACACAAATTGGCTTAGATTAAAATAGTTTTTCCGTGCAGCTGGGCTAATTACGGTAATGCCCCTTCGCAGGACATGGCCCTGTGTTGCTACATTCGAGCGGAAGAACGGAAGAGCAACTGTCAAATATTGCGAACGCTGCACAAACTGCATAAATATTGCAATCGCATGACTCGACATCGGCTGGTTCCGTGGACGCAAACGCGGACTTGGTCACGCTGCAGTTGACATTTTTTCCTTTTCGCTAGAAGTGGCAGCTAAAACCGTAGGACACATAGAAAACAGTTCAGCCGGCGAGTCATCATCCGGTGGCTTCGGTGGCTTCCACCGCTCCGCATACAAATTTTATTCGCTTCCGCTGGGCGATTTTCAAATTAAAGCGGTCTCACTTCGAACTTAAAGTCTAGTCGGAAATTAAACAACAAACACAACAGTCGTTGCCTTCTTCCATTAGTGCCAGGACGAAAAAGCAAAGGATGTCGAAGAAATAGTGCCTTTTGATTTTCGGCAATTCTTCTTTGGCACAGCGCTTCTCTTTTATATTTTCCAACGAATTTCTTTTGTTTGTTTGACAATCGAACGAGTTCGAAAGTTTCCGTATGAACGCTGGGAAAAGTACAGTGAGAGATCGCTAATTACAACATAAAGATTATTGAATTTAAGCAGAAGTTGGAATAGACAAATTAAAAAAAAAAATGGCACTTTTCATCATCAAACAAAAGTTTATAAGCTTCTTTAAAAAAAAGTTGGGATGAGTGTAAACAGCCAACTTCTTTGCTTTATATATAACTACCTTGTATAAAATCCAATTTGCTTAAGTAGGACATAGAGGCAATATAAATATAAATACCTTGAAACGAGCTCCCCTTTTTCCCGGGGCTTCCACTGTCTGAACGTCATGACACTTTCCATTTGCTTGAAGTTCCCTGCTCGGCTAATTAACTCAATTGCAGCTTTTCCGGGCTCCGCAATTCTTCATTAGCTCGAAGTCAAAGTTTACGATATGCGATTATTTCACTCCAGTGATGCTGTGATGCTGCTTCTGTCAGTGGTTGATGTGGATGTGGATGTGGATGTGGATGTGGATGCGGATGCTGTTCTTTTGTGAGTGAGTGGCTGCTGCCGAGGTGAGTGTTTGTTTTATGAAGGAAAATAATGTACAAGACGGCCCACCACCCACCACCCACTTGCCTTTTTCCAACTGCCTTCCACCACAGACCGTAATTGTTTTGGCCTGACTTTCGGGCGAGTTTTAAAGGTGCTCTCGGTATTTTTGGGCTACGAAGTTGGGAGTAGAAGTTATGACACACGATGCAGAGCAGATAACTATTTCCAAACTGGGCCTGAACCAACTACTATATGGCTTAATCTTGGCATTTGGACCACATTTTCCTTGCCATCACCCTTATCCTTACACATTTCTGCACTCTAGGTGTATGTAGTTTTTAGTGTTGTTATTGTTTAATTTGCGCAAAATTCGGCTTGTTGTGTGTGTTGTTTTTGGCTGGGGAATTTGCATTCGAAATTTTGGCATTGTTTGCTCTAGGAATTCGCATTTCCATTACACTAATTCATGTATTTTATTACACTTGCCTGCTCTCGCACTCGCAGTCGGCAGTCGGATTTCAGATTTTCGGGCGGGCTTTAAACATTTTGTTGCAGCTTGCAGTTTGCAGTGAAATAATTTATGCAGTTCACTGTTTAATTGCACAGCTCCCCGTTTGTGGGTGCGGTGCGGTTATAGTTTCAAAGTTGTGCCGGGGACTGACGCAGGCTTGCATCTCTTCCAGTTGAGTAATAAGATTATTAGTTCCACTCTGGGGCACAAACACAAACGCAATATAAATCTAACCGGAGCACATGCATATACATAGCTGGCCACGCCCCCTCGTTAGGGGACGTCCTTGCTGCAGGACCTCTAAATTAATGCCAATCCACAAGTCTTCCACAACGAAGCAGCTGTACAACTTAACTCTTGCCTAGCAGTTACACTTTTGCTTTCTATTTTATACATCTTTAATAAGATCATATTTTATAATATTTATTGCAGACCATTTTGACCCATCTTAAAAATATTTCACATTTATTTATTTGCTTTCCTTCTTTTCACACATATTATAATTTGGGTGTTCTATCAAAATTAACTTAAGTAACAAAAGAACCAATAAAAATAAATATACACAGGAATATACAAATAATAAAGCTGTTGAAAATTAAAATATTTAAGTAATTCCAAGTTAAGCAGCTTAACTTTTCAGCTATTTCCTTTGAGTGAGTGTAGCCAAGCTGCCGATGACTCATTTAAATGTCAATTACACGAACTTAAATCCAGGCCAGGACATTGCCGAGGCTTCCAGTTGATAAATTCAATTAAATAAATCTGTGAAATTCAGTAAGGAATTACTAAGCCAGCCGCTTGGATGACAGGGGCTCAGTGTGCAACTTACGTAACACGCAAATATTTGCTTAAATTAACTGGAACCTTATGAGATTTAATAAGGAAGGTGACTTAACTCGCCTAAAGGCTTCCTTGGGGCGGCTTTATGCTTAACTGCGCAAGATTTAAGTAATTATCTTCATACAGCAGCTGCAATTGCTCCATACGCTCAAGTATATCTTTTTCCGTGGGATTTGGGTTTAAATGTAACTGGGATTGGGAGCTCATGTGTCTATTTTTAAAAACCAGACAGTCTGCCAAATCTCTTATTTGCTCATTAAAATCATCGATGCTTTCCTTGTTGCCCTTATAGCAGCGTTTTAATTTTATCTTGGCGAGGTTAACAAGCTCGGAAAATTCCTGAAGACGCAGAAGATGCAGGTGGTGGTTATGCAGACTCTCCTCTTGAGAATCCAGCTGTCTGAAGAACTCTTCGTCCCCAATCCGATTCTTTATTTTATCCATATCATTGGATACCGGGGTTGCATTCTCTATTTTTAAATTATCCAACTTCAGTGGCAGGCTCATTATATCATTAGGAGTACCATGTTCCACCTTTGGTTCCTTTAGTTCTGCCTTCTCTTCTGAGACAATGGGAATCGTACAAAGCCCCTCACCCTTTCGATTCTCAACGTTGTCCAACAAGAAATAGAGTATTTCCAGCACATGGCCCATGGCTTGTCGGGTGTTGGGCGTTCTCAGCCAGCTTTTGTTCACCTTTTTAGAATACCGGAGCTGCTGCAGTGCCTCCGCCATCTGCTGCACATGGCAATTTCTGCTAAGATGGGAGAATTGTACACCATTAGAGGGCAGGAGGCGGACTAGTTGGCTCACAAAATCCGAGATAAACTGACGTAACTGGTACTCAGTCTTTTTCTGCCATTCCCTCGCCATCTCATCCAGCTTCCGCCGCAGTGAATCCTTCGACAGCTCAGGATGGAAATCCAACTTTCGCTTTGAGTTGGTCAGCTTGGTTGCTTTGCTGGGTGCATGGAGGCTTTGGAGGCTCTTGGGATCCTTGGGGTACGAGAATCCAATCTGGGGCACCAACAGCCTGCTCGACGTAAAGCTAGTCGTTGTTGCCTTTGTTTTTTGGCGGTCAATCGATGCTGCGACTAGGCGATTTGAAATAGCCTCCTGGCGCTCCCGCTCAAGAATCACACTTGTGCGGATTGGTTGTGGTGCCGAGGAAGGTACAAATGTGCAGGTGCTAAAAGAGAAATTTTATTCATTTTAATATTGGTTTTTGGACTAGGATTAGAAAATTAATACTATAACTGGAAGTAATGGATCTCCGACTGAATTTAAAATTGTTTAATATTATAATAAAAATTAATTACTTAGTTTGGAATACACAGATGAATAGATACTATATACCAAATAAGACAACTCTTTCTATTGCGATTACTTCCTTAAAAATAGCCTTTACACACCGCTTTTCCGAAGTTTTTAGAAGATCCTGATTTTCCAGATTGCTTTGGGAAGTTATCTTGCAGGCGGAAGTTCCTAGATGAGATTTCTCCCTAAGTTCCTTAGAGCGTAAAGGACGAGGTTCCGAAAAAGGAATGCCTTTTTTAGACGACCTATTTTATTGGAGTTAAAAAGGTAGTAAGTTCGCAGTTAGATCATTGAAATATCACAACGGATTACCGAAATTCTGGTGTTTTGGGTCTTTCCCAGGTTCGTTGCCTATTTTGGGGTGTAAGGAATCGATTTTTTGACGGTATCCTGGAGGCAGATGATGATCGGAACAGCGTCTCCAGACGCTGCAGCAATTGGTGGGGGCGCTCCAAACCCGTATCCCCATCGGTAATTAAAATAGCGGGTATTGGGGATTTTGGATTTTTGGTTCCCTGACCGTTTTGTGGGGTTAAATATCCCTTCTTAGGGTTAACCCTACTAGATCTCATCACCTCCAGCAAGTCCTTGGAACGCAAGGGCATACAGAATCTCGGAGTACTAATCAAAAATATGTAAATTATCAGTAAGTATCTACAGGATACTGTCTACTAACTCACCGATCGTCGGCTGACTTCTCCATACCATTCATATACGAGTTTTTTAAGGATTTATTTATTGTTATTTATTGTGATTTTTGTTTATGTTATCAAATTGAACTGTCGGAAAGCTATCGAATATTGATACTCGGAAAACAATCGACATCGGAAAATATTGACATAAGTATCGATTGCACCACCGATAAATAAAAATAATTGATAACTTTTTGGTATTTATATACCAAATCACCAAACCAAATAACAAAATACTAACGATCGCTCAATTTGAATGATAAATTTAAAAAATAACCGTTGTAATGTTTGTTTTAATAAATGAAATAAAAGAAAAAGTTATATCGAATTATATTTATCTACCAACCAGCTGAATATAAGTGCCACTCTCCAGCAATTATTGCCGTAACACCCCCTACCTTTATTAACTTTAAAAACTGCATCCCATTGGCAAGGCAACACGGGCCGCGAATACATAAATCATGGATGAAAGTGAAAATTGGTTGCACCTACAACGAGCTCCGGATCCCAGGTGGCCGCCGAAAGGTGCCACCTCCGCCGACCCGTGACCCCGCCCATTTGTGGCGTAATTACGAAACAATACACGCGTGGGCGCAACTGGAGCCAGCAGGCCGCCAGCCAGGAATTGAGGGCCAGGAGCCGGGAGCCATGAGCCTGGGGGCCCGAAGCAAGGGATCGGAAGCCAGCGGGGCACAGGTGGCCCCCAATTCCCGTGCAGCATGCAGGTGTTATTTGCGAGGCTTCTGAATAAACACTTTACAAAATGTATACAGTAAACATTACATTAAAGTAAAATAAAGAAAGTTGGATAATTTAATATCAAAACGATATTAAGTACTGTAAAAAAGTATGTAAGTTTTGTAATAAACATAAAAATGTATGGAATCAACATGACCATACAAATTAAAGTAAAATAAAGAAAGTTGGATAAATTAATATCAGAACGATATTAAATACTGTAAAAATAACGTTTATGGAAATAGTTTTGTTTAAATTAAATAAAACAAATATACCCCAATGCCAAATAGGTTGCATGTGTAATCAATTAAAAAAAAAATTGGGTATAAAGTTCTATAGTTCTTTTTCCAATGAAAATTTAAAACAAATTCAAGTACCTACAACACTGGATTTTTTATCCCTTGTATTTAAACTTCATTCCATTAAAAAGATCTAAGAATGTTCTACCCCAGAATAGATATCTCAGTGTACCTCATCCTGTACACTGTATAGTTTTCTTGTTTTGACTGCTGCGTTTTTGCAATTCAACCGCAATAAATAATGGAGCAGCTTGTTAAATTTGAGCGCACGCCCACCAGGAAGCGCTGCAAAAATGTAGGTTAGAGGATAACGACGATGATGATGTTATCAGCGGCCCATTGTGGATACTCGGTGGTCATTTCGCTGGCCAACCAAAACGAGACTCGACTGGTGGTGTGGAAATGCGATTTTTACATATTTGATATACATTTTAATTGCGGGGCATTAAAATGCAGGCACTGGCCAAAAATGCGCTTAAAATAATTAAATTTATTGCCGCATCACCGATTTGGCAGCTGACTAAGCGAAAACAAACCGCACTGTGTCGACACAGCCGAAATGCCCTCAAGTATTCGCGGGGCATGATGAATAATTACTCGGCTATGTATCACTAAATAATTTTGCATTTATTTTATATAATACAGTACACATTGCATTAAACTAAATAAAATCTATTTAATATATAATATATATTTAATATGTGATCGTACACAATCAACCCTATATACGTCGCTCCTCCTTACTCTCCTATTTGTCTTAGTCTGCACATTTATGTAGCGTAATTGTAATATATTTAATCGCTGCCGTCCATCTCCCATTTTCATTTCATTTTAGTTTTGTTAACAACAATTATTGCTATTTGAATTCATTATTGGTTTAAGTGTATTCTGTCGTTTGTATGTTAAAACCCTAACGTATTTTGTTTGCTTTGCGGTGTTTCAAGTTCTCACGATGTGTTCGTTAGTGTGGATATACGTATTTAAAATATAGTTTCTATTTAGATTTATGTGTATACTTGATAAACAATTGAACAGCGTTAAAAACAGTTTGCCAGTAAACCAAACTCAGTTCGTTAACAATTTGAATTCGGTTGAGTAAACTATTTACAAGTGGAGCGTATCAATGCAAATATAAATTCACCAATAGTGGTTAAAAACATGCAAGCCGGGCTCGTTGTACAATTGAACTAGAAGCAACCAGAGTGCAATCTTATGGCGAAAACGTAATATTTAGTTGCGATTGCTGAGCAGCTTTTTGTGAGCCAACAAATTTGCATTTAAATATTTAATTTCATAGGGGCTGGCTGAACTTTAAGGTGGTTTTATTTATCGGCGTAAAAGTATTGACGGCAAAAAATGTATCGACAAGTACAATTGAAGATAGAGGTAAAAAATGATTTACAGAAACGAACTATTGAAAACATGTTGTTTAAATTTACATAGAGCAATTAGGAAATAATTAAATTATGTCTAACCAATTATAAATAACTCTAAAATAGGCGTTTCAATACATTCATACATATATCGTTTTCAAATTTCGCACTCTAAACAAATCTTTCATTTCGTATTGGTAGCGAAGATAGGAATAGACAGACAAAAGTGTGTGTTTTGTGTTTACAGTATACAGTAGTAATACATACGTATGTAATAATAATAACAGTAACTATTTAACGCAACGTGGTCGTCGAATGGGAAATGGTAATGGACACAGGGAATGGGGAATCAGGGGTAACGCAGGCGCTCAACTGGAATTAAACATTAATCAACAAACCGACCACAAATCGACTGCCACTCATTCCTGGCAGAAGCCCTCAGTCTCCTCGATGGCAAAGGTCAGCTTCTCCACCAGCTGATCGTAGCTCTTGTACGGCGGCAGGTCCAATCGATTGAAGCAGGTGTGCGATCGCGGCAGCCACGTCTCCTTGCCCACCTTCTCGATGCAGAAGCGCTGCGGCCCATTGGAGCCCATTAGCTCGGCGAATCCTCCGACTGGCACGCGGCACGTGCCCGTCACGAACTGCAGCAGCCGCGCCCGCTTCTCGTTGTCCGTCTCGCGAACAAACTGCGAAGGTAATTACATGGATTAGAAAATGATAGGGACACAAAGCGAGTTCAACCAACCTGCCAGAACCAGACGACCTGCTTGGAGTTGCGGTTGTAGTGCCTGTAGATGGTGTTGCGCTGCCAGTCCTCGACATCCACGTCCTGCATGCCGCACAGAATCAGCTCCAACTCGCGCTCATCGAAGTACTTGAGCCATTCCAGGGGCACCACCTCATTGAAACCCTCCAGGAACGTCTTTGTCTGCTGTTCAATGCCACTGTATACATAAATATAGGGAAATCATATTTAGCAATGAGCAACAAAGTTAAAAACGTCCTGCCTACCGCGTCATTCGCCATTCCGTCATCAGCGTGATGTACTCCTCCTTGTTTTCCTCGTTCACACGCTCCTTCTCGCCGTTCTCCTTCAGCTCGTGATGGATTATCTGGCCGAGGACTTCGAAATCCACGCTGAACCACAGCTCCAAGCCGCACTCATCGATGTTGTTATCCTTCACCCAGATGAGAGAGTTGTAGAACTCCGGATCGATCGTCTCGATGTCCTTGATGGTCAGCTTTTTGTTCAGCATGCGCTTGTAGAATGGCATTGTGAATCCGCTGTAGATAAACCGTCCGTGATACAAGGCCATCGCAATGAAGCGACCGATGAACTTGAAGTACTGCAGATGATCGGGATTGACGTACGAGGCGGGATTTATCTGCAGGCTGTAGTTGTTCTTGTTGGCGTACTCAAACAGGCAATACATCGGATTGAGAACCTCGTGCGAGAGCAGGAAGAACCACTCGCGCGATACGCCGCCATAATCCAGACCCTCCTCGCCACGAAATATTATATAGAGCCGCCTGCGCAGTTCGTAGGCGGGCAGACGCATGATCTGGTGGTAGGAATCCTCGAACAGCGTTTGTCGCGTCACCGTTATCTTGATGTGCGACGGCAGAGCGTTGCTCTGGCACAAGTAGCGGAATTGCGACAGCTTCCAGCGGAAGCTGCGTTCGTAGGCGCGCGGAACTCCATAAACTCCTTTGGCGCCTTTGGGTGCCCCCGGTCGAGGATCCTCAAAGGTGGTGCGTCGCGTATTGTGATCCACGAAGAAGCGTTCACCGGCCGCCGTGTAGCGGATTTCCCAGCCTGGCGGGAGAGGTCCCTCGTTAATCAGGCTTACTTCTTGACCCTGGGTGCGTGGATCCTCCCACTGGGTGGTTCGGTTCTTGTGGTTAACAAAGTACACTCGGTTGTCCGATTGGATCTGTTTAGGATGGAAATTACATTAAATAAAGAGCAATTTAATGGTATAGCAAACGATTTCACCTTCTTCTCCCATCCATCGGGAAGCGGTCCCAGTGCATCTTCGTCGTCCTGCGTCACCTGCGCGGTCACCGCCGTCGGCTGCTGTTGTTGCTGCGAGTACAGGTACCGCTGGTTACCCTGGGACACAACGTGAGCCCTCTGACCTTGCCAGTGCTGGAAGTGCATCAGGCGCTCGCTATTCGGCCTCTGCCAGGTGGTCTTCCGCGTGTTGTGATCCACATAGTAAACGCGACCGCGTCCATCTTTCCTGATCTCCCAGCCCGGCGGCAGTGGCGTCGGTTTCTCCCAGTAGGTGGACCTCGTATTGTGATCCACATAGTACCTCCGGCCATATTGATCCAGGCGGATTTCCCAGCCAGCCGGCAGGGGCTCATCATCCGCCGGTTGTGTCTGCAGTTGCGGATCTGTGCTTTGACTGACGGGCAGTCCAACGCCGGGCTGTTCCATGGGTGGTCCTGCTGCTACTGCCGCGCCTCCTGCTGGCAAATAAACAGCGGATGGCGGAGGATTTTCGGGCAGAGCTCCGTACACTTGGGTCAGAGGTCTTGCGAGTGCGGGAGCCGGCGGCTGCTGGGGATACGGAGCTGTTTGCGGCACAGCCGCCCCGCTGCCATTGACCATTCTCAGGGGTTGAGGTTGATTCGGGGATGGTTGTTGCTGCTGCTGCTGCTGTTCCCACACAGGCGGAGCTGGCGCAGATCTCCTGTGATCTCCATTTGGCAGTGGGGAGCGGCTTTCTCCACCACCATTGCTGTTGCCGCTACTCGAGCGAAGTCGCATTCGTGCTCGTACTCCGCCGTAAATCATGCAACTGCGTCCTGCGGCCGCATCACTAACCACCGACGGATTGACAGCCTGGACGGGTGGATTGCCATTCTGTTGGACGCCCGCCGTTTGAATCTGCAGCTTGGACATGTCCAATTTGAGGCCATTGAGGATGGCCACCAGCTCGCCGCTTTTCGTCTGGCGATTGTCCGACTTGCTGGTGACGAACAGGTCGATGGTCAACTCGAGGAACTCGCAGCGTCCATTGTAGTGCTGCAGAATGTGCGCCAGGTTGATGACCCGTTCGCCCAGCATGGCATCCTTGCGGAAACTGGAGTGATCCAGCACCTTGAAGTGCAGCGTGGAGTTGGGTGTAATCTAAGGGTGGGGAAATAGGTTTTAGATTGAGAATTAATGGCTTTTAGTTATTATTTACCAGCACTGTAAACTCCTCGTTCCACTTGGGCAGATAGCTGTTCTTGACCAAGTCCGTCTTCCGCTTGCTTTTGCTATCGATCAGCAGCTCCACGTAGGGATTGGGCTTGAGAAAGCCATTGTTGCGCAGCGAAGCCTCCTCGACTGAAAGGATTTCGGGGCATTATTGATTGTAACAGAAAGAGAAACGGGAATGTTTCTTTTGTTTGCTCACTTGTCACGCTTAATTGATGATATCCTTGATTGGCACTCCCACAGGCACCCGCCCCCGAGCTCGAGGGGGGCGTGGGGCTGGCGGATCCGGCTCCATTCACTTGCTGACCGGCCTCCATGCCGCCGGAAGCTGCACCCGCTGGCAGCCCATTTCCATCGGCCATTTAGTGGCTGAGTGTGCTCCTCCTCCGCCTCCCCGCTTTGTATTCCTCCCTCTGAGTGACCTTCAGCACCTCGGGGAGCTGTCGTTCTGAAAGAGAAAGCGGTTAGTGAGTATGGTGGTGGAGTATTGGTGGTGGAAAGTATCGAATGGGAAATTGCGTGTTCGGGAGCTGATAAGATAAGTCCGGAACACGGTCTACATACGTAAATGGTTTATCAATAACCGACAAAAAAGTACAAAAGTCGAAAAGGAAGCTTTTATTACCACGTATTGTATTATTATTATATTAAAGAAGTGCTTCGTATATGGTGATTTATCAAGTACTCTCTAGGTGGGAAAACAAAGTTATGAAGTTTAGCTCTCGACTATTTAAAGGCCTAATCTTGAGGGGTAGATAATACCTGCTCTGGCGCTATATCATTATGAAAGCGACTAGCCGCAGATAAGATATAGGCTGTTTAGCTTTGTTTAGTATATATAGTATATAGTGTAAACGACAGTATTGCTAAAAAATTGTTAACGAATAGGCCTTCACTTTTTTCGTGTTATTAACTCCTCGAACAAAATGTAAGCTGCAAATTTCCAGGTTTTTTCGCTATTATCGGGGCTGAAGTACAGTGCGTCTCGAAATGATTGTACTCTAAATCTAGGAAAATAAACTAAAAAATGTTTCAAAACAGCTAATAAGAATTTTTTTTACTTTAAATTTGAATAATATATTTCATTAGAAATAAATCATAAGTACAGTATGAAAACAAAAGTCCAGAATAGATTTAGGAAACTGATAAGGCTGTATAATTGTGAGCAATGTGTTTAAAAATATAAATTCCAATACTTTACGATGAGTAATGGAACTCACAAAGCGAAAATGATGGAAGTTAGCTACATTGTAATAGGAACTCCCCCTTATAACTTTACTGATAACTACGATCTGCAGCTGATATTATGACCTTACACTACCGGGAAGCACTGTATTTTGGGCTATTAATTTTCGCCATAATTCGCGACTGTCACGGGTGTGTGCGTGTGAGCTCCTCTGTACTTTTTTTCGTGTACAATTTCCCCGCCGATTGCTGGTCATCTATAATTTTGATAGCAAACACCCCGGCGCACACAATAGATTGTATAATAATGTTGCCATGTGAGTCATCGAAAAAAAAACACGAAAAAGAAAACGGTAAATGAATTCAATTTCAATTGTTGAATGGTCATTGCATATTGATTGTATACACAGAGAAGAAATTATTGGTATAATACAATTAATGATTAATTAGGATATAAGATAGATTTTATCAATTACCAAACAATCCAGTTTTGAAATCAAATTTTTTATAACAAAATTTATATCTGATTTATTAATAAAAAAGATTTAATAATAGACTTTTCTCTCTGTGCACTCGTTGCGATTTCCCTTTTGCTTGGGTTTTTACTGCATTAATTTGGCGAGAACACGTGAACAATTGCAGCTTGTTTATTTGTTTACTCGTCAAATTCCTTCAATCAGATTGAAATTGAAATTGTCTTGAAATCTGTTTTAATTGACACATCGCATCCGATAAATTAGCACGCACTTTCCGGTTTTTACTCGCTTATCAATGGGGGTGCCCCCTGTTCTATTCAAGTGTTTATCACCAAAGAACAAAGGGGAGTTATCTTGTGGGGCAGAAAAAAGCGAAGAGCGAAAACACAGTGGAAACGAATAATCAGCAACAGCTGTCAATAAATCAAGAATGCACTTTCTGTGGGGCAGGGAGGGGGAGGGGAACTTGAACTTCCTTGAATTATCGACCGTTGGGCTTAGTCACCCACACAGCGACACTTGGCCACTATATAAATATGTATATTTATATATATTGGTGGTCATGTAACGCAGGCCAAAAAAAAGAAGGTAGTTGTACCTCTCCCACTCCTTAAATGTGTGTATGTGTGGTGATTGTTTGTAATTGAGGCAAAGGTCGCGACTTTCGTCTCGCTCGCACTCGCTGCCGCTGCTTTACCGCTTGCAAATTCCAAGGCAAAAATGTGTGTTCCTTTTGTTTTTAGCAATTTCTGGGTGTTTCTCTTCCTCGTTTCTACCTGCGCCTTACCTTCTTCTTCGTCTTCCTCTGGTGCTCCTACAACTTGCGCCTGTGTGTGTGGATGTTGTCTCCTGTGTGCGGCTGCATGTGTGGGTGCGGGATTCTTAATTGAGTTTTCCTGGGCCAAGCAATTGATGCCCGGAATATTGCACGATTGCCTGATGCCGCCCTCGCCTTGGTCCAAGTAATTCCAAGTAGTTGGTGCGCTGCGCTAATTGTTTATTTGTTATTTTGTTTCGCTTCTTTCGATGAAACAGTGTGACCGCGGCACGGCTCTAAGAAATATACCACTATTATTTTTTGAAATATACCAAAATAATACCAAATCTCACGACGATATTCATGGATTCTATCGATAGTTATATTTTACGTTAGGACAAATCGATAAAATAATTAAATCAGCTTTGTAATTTTTTAGGAAATTTTTTATATAGTATAAATTAATTATTTATTTGCGATTTTAATAATAATATGTATTTCTTACAGGCAAAATTACATTTTTCGATGACGATAATGGCAATCAATTGAATTTCTTACTGCCACTCTGCATAAATAATTGGTTCTTTCGCCATTATTTGTCCTTTTTATTGTCCTGCTAAATTTATATAAATTGTGGGGCTAGAAAACAAGAACAAAACTGAATTATCGAAGGATGTCTTTGCTATGCACAGAGGATCATGCACTCACTATAGTAGGAGTGTGTACTCGCTATGTTGCCAACCTACTTGTTGGACAAGAGTTGCCAGATTGGTTAAAATCCATCACGATTCGCGTAGCCAACTGCATTTAAAAAAGACCGCGAAATATTCTTTTTAGAGCATTTATGCTCTTTTCTCCTCCTAATAAAATAAAAGTAAGTTTTCGGTCTTGAAATCGTATTGAAATGTAGAGTTTAATTAAAAATGTGAAATTACAAATGTATAGTAGGGCTGACGATCACTGTTATCAAGTTGTTAGTTTGTAACTAGATGTAAGCAGAGAAAATAAATTGGCAGTCCTGCAAACTACAGTAGACTGGCACGCATTCTGGCTGAAGTATCCGAAATTCAAGCAAATCGAATCGAGATTCTTTTACATCGAGGAAGATTCCAAGCAATACTTGTCCGCTGCTTCGAACACCTGTCGCGAAATGTACGGTTACCTGGCGAGCATTTAAGATTATAGCGAACTGAACCAGTTAAGTAAACATCTATCGAGAAACACTTGGTAATGGATTGGCATTAACGATATGGAAAAAAAAGGGAGAATACATATCTTCGGCCACCGGAAAACTAGCTCCTTTTATGAGGTGGGGCCCTGACTATCCTTATAGCGGCAGTTTGTATAAGTGCTTGTACTTGTACAATGGGCTAATGTACAATTATCCATGCAATAGTAGCTGCCGCTTTATATGCCAGGCAGATAATACCATTTAATCTGTGTCTTTACTTAAAAAACTATACCGTTCTAAATATATTTTGTGTAGGGGAGAGTGGGGGAATTTCGTCACAGGGGCAATTTCGTCACCTGCAATATCTCGGAATCCATAAGTCGTAAAAATATATAATTTTTTTTTTTAGTCCTTCAAGACGGCCAGACACAACCAATGCATTTGTTTTGCACAGAAGGCCAAGATAATTAAGCTATAATATTAAATGTGTTTTAACAGTTCAAAAGCTATATTTAGTTCTCGACGAAATTTTTTCTGTATGCCACAATTCAAAAGGAATAAGATACACGATTTTTTATATAATACACAGTGCTATAATGTGCATTTCTGCGTCAGAGATTTTTAACTTCGCGCCTAATTTCGCAAGAAAAATAATTATTTCTAAAAAAGTACGGTCTGGGGAAATTTCGCCACCCTACGCTAAGGGTAAATTCGCACCTATTTTAAATACATATTTTTATATTTGACGAGCTGGCTAACGAACAGACTACCAGCAGCAGCAACAAATATAGGACGTCAACAAAAATGGTACGCTTGATCAGTGTAGCATATTTTCAGGCGTTAAACTCCCTACATTTTTCAGGTGACGAAATTTCCCCAGTTGTGTGGTGATTTTACCCCCCTGTGTGGTGAGATTGCCCCAGTATATTGGTTTTACATTTTATTTTTTTATAAATCACCAAGCTAATTAAAAAAATAGGGGAATGTCACATTTTAAAGCTTGGTGCTAACCGCATTCAACAATAAAAATAGAAATATGATAACGTGTCTCAAGATGGACAAAAAATAGCTTTGAAAAAATGCTGACGAAATTCCCCCACTCTCCCCTATTATAAATTAATCGATCTTCAACAAATTGGAACATTTAAAATTGGTACCTATTTACCTTTCTCCATATGATGTGTACAATAAAATGCAATAAATTGAGCGTTCTTATTTAAATTAAATTAAGGTTCTTTCAGCATTGAAAAAAGCGGGGCGCTATCAATATTCATTACTCAAGTGTTTTGTGTGTTGAATTTATTTGGGTTCTTTTTAAAAAATAAATAAGAGTATTGGGTATAAAAACCCTGAGTTAGTACTTTTCGAGCATTTGAGTTCAGCGGTAATAAATTGAAATGAAATTCGGGATTGCGCTGCTTTGTGGGCTTTTAGCTCTACATTCCTGTGAAGTTCTGGCGGATACGGAAACCGCTTGCCTTCTAAAAGATCCACCCATCCAATGCGGGGGATTCTGCCTGAGTGTTTTGACGCCGGTCTTGAATCACTTGACCATCGCCCAGGATCACAGAAATCCCAGTGATCTTAACAAATCTAATGAGGTCCTTGTAAGGCAGTACACCATGGAAACTCAACTGGCTGCCATGCAAGAAAAGCAAGCCTCCTTTGAGAACTCACTAGATAACACTAGTTTACAAAATAATATTCTTGGTGTGCTCCCCAGCATTTGATGGCAAATTCTGTTAGTGCTGGACCCCTAGATCACGAAAATAGCACTACATTTTTTTTCGATGGCACAGTTTTTTTTTAAAGATTTTTTAAAGTTCGAAATGTTAAATTTCTGACTTTTTTTGAATTTCTTCTTATATCTCGGCAAATATCCACTCGGTTGGGCCAGTTTTAGTTTTATTTTAAAGTCAATAGATCAGAGCTTAACTTTGCCATACAGATCAATACGATTGGATGAGTAATGGCAGCGCAGGAGCTTGACAAAGATGAAAAATGTGTTTTTTGGTATTCTGTAAGTCGGCTGTATATATCGTAAAAACTCGAAATAAATCCGTTGAAAAATCATAATGGGTACAAACTAAAAGTTTACATCCTACCGAATAAAACAAGCCGGATATGGCCCAAATCCATGGAAAACTGGATTTATGGTGGATTTTTAAAGTACGGATTTTTCCACTTTTTTCGGTTGACAGAGTCCAAATTTAAGATTTATCATAGGCGGCGACATGTAAACAAAAATGAGTGGTGACGGCAGCCGGGTCAAAAAATATCTAAATTTAAAAGCTAGAAAATTATAAAATAAATTTAATTTCTGAAAATTCCTTTAAAAATATAAAATTGCTTGCGTTATGACTGTGAGTATTTTTAACTAAGTACTATCCATTTGGATAGTTCATTCTTATGAAAAAAGTAACCTTAATTAAAAAATTAAATTCACTTATATAATTTTCTAGCTTTTAAATATCTGATTTAGCTATTTAGTGACCCGGCTGCCAACAACAATTATTTTTGCTTACATGTCGCCGCCTATGATAAATCTTAAATTTGGACTCTGTCAACCGAAAAAAGTGGAAAAATCCGAACTTTAAAAATCCACCATAAATCCAGTTTTCCATGGATTTGGGCCATATCCGGCTTGTTTTATTCGGTAGGATGTAAACTTTTAGTTTGCACCCATTATGATTTTTCAACGGATTTATTTCGAGTTTTTACGATATATACAGCCGACTTACAGAATACCAAAAAACACATTTTTCATCTTTGTCAAGCGTCTGCGCTGCCATTACTCATCCAATCGTATTGATCTGTATGGCAAAGTTAAGCTCTGATCTATTGACTTTAAAATAAAACTAAAACTGGCCCAACCGAGTGGATATCTGCCGAGATATAAGAAGAAATTCGAAAAAAGTCAGAAATTTAACATTTCAAACTTTAAAAAATCTTTAAAAAAAAACTGTGCCATCGAAAAAAAATTTAGTGCTATTTTCGTGATCTAGGGGTCCAAATCTAACAGAATTTGCCATCAATTGCTGGGGAGCATTTCGGCTGTAAACTAGTGTAATCAACAAAAGGATTTGGATATCAAACAGCAGAACTTTACTGAAAGACAGGATTATTTGGAAAGCCAATTGTCGGCGCTACAAGAAGCTTTCTTCAGAGTGGAAACTAAAATAAAATATCTGGGATTCGAGCAAATCGGTTCGAAATACTTTTATATCGAGAAAGTAACTGAGCGGAACTGGTCCTCTGCCTCGAAATCCTGTCGCAATATGGGAGGACACCTGGCGGATATTAAGGATCAAGAGGAACTAAATGCCATTCAGGCGAATCTCAAGAAGGACACTCACTACTGGCTGGGAATCAACGACCTGAGCAAAGAGGGAGAATTTTTGTCCATGCCCTCCGGCAAAGAAGCTCCTTTCTTGAAATGGGCCTCTGGACGACCCACTCAACTGAACACTTCCAACTGTGTGTTTCTATATAATGGGGAAATGTATGATTATCCCTGCAACTACAGCTTCCGGTTTATTTGTCAGACAGAGGAGGAAAATGAGTAAAAATGAGAAGTATATAAACTTTAAATATTTTTAAAGAAATTCCCTATTAAATTTCTTTTTTAAATGTACATATCTCCACAACAAATAAAATATATCTTACCTAATGCTGTAACACTTGTGCTTTTTCAATTCAATTCTTCAGTCCCTCATTAGCTTATCTCTATTGCTCGCTTTGGGGTTACTAAATATACCGGTCCGACATTATATTGCGTTTTTAATCAAACAAACTACGCAGAAAAAGTGAAATTTCCTTGATTCTCCGATCTTTCCAGTAGCCCGAAAACTATTTGTTTAAACAATTATTAGCAGTCGTTTTAAATGCGAGCACTGAGAGAGCGAAGAGTCGAAGAAAATTCGACATGTACTTTGTTGTTTGCTCGCTTTCGGACTTTTTCACACATCGTCCGAGTTTCAGAGAACTCCGACTCGACGACTACGACTCAAAGTGAAAATGATCAAAATTTAATGTGCCGTCCGCTCTGGATCCGCAGTCATTCGTGTCGGAGCATTCGTGTCGAACGGAGCTGATCGGAATTTCGTATTAAGGATTTTAGACCACGGCCGAAAGGATTACGCAAAAAGGATACGCGATGAGGCAGCTGCTTGTTTTCGCGCTAATCAGCGGATTGTTTTACTTTTCCGAAGGTAAACTCCGCCAGAAAGTGAAGTGTTCTGAATTAGATTATGAACTCTGGTTTTCTTAATTTTTTTGGGAATTTATCTCAAGAAGTTAACGGCTTTTCTAAATATTTATTTAAAACTTAACAAAACATTTATGTGATTTTAAATTCGATTTATTTACAAATTAATATTTGAGACAGTAAAACTTAATAATGAATTCCGAAAAATTACCAACAAAGGTTTTTTTAAACCGAATAACTTTTCCGTAAAATTAAAATTAAATTCCCATAAATTAAATTTGAAAATGTATCCGTAAAACTTGACTTAGATAAAATAAAATTGGGAAGTAAAATAATTCCATAAAATAAAGAAATTAATTAGATTTGAAAATGTATCCCTAAAACTGATTTAAATTTGGAACTTATCTTATAACAATGAAATAAAGATAGCAAATAAAGAAAGCCCAAACTGTTCAACTAAACTATATAAAATTCAGTTAAATTCCCTGTGCTTTCCACCATGTTAATGTGTAAACTTCTTCTCTTTCCGTACTTTATTTTCCCCCCTTTTTTCTGGACTGACTGAAGGCAAACCGTGCCCCGAAAAGACACGCCCCCACAAAACCCGCTGCGACGCCTTCTACAAGTGCCGGGAACTCGAATCCAATTCGCATGTTTGGATTCCGGTGAAATGCAACGAGGGCCTGGTATACGAGTCCAGTTTGGGCAGTTGCGTGCTGCCTGGTGAGGATTGGGAGTGCATCACGCCCAGTGAGATGACGAGCTCCACTCAGTCGCCGGCGAAACCGGATGCGGACATCCTGATAGTCAACGACATGGATGAGGCGGGTCTGCTGCTGAGTGAATCCAGCCACAAGGACGATGGCACCGTGGAAATCGTACTGGACTCCACGCTGAGTAGTGAAGAGGATGAGGAGACGGGCAAGAGCAAGCCGAATTCGGAGGAGGATGTCTCCGCCAGTCACAATTTCGATTCCAGCGGAGATGGCGAGCTGGTGGAGCTGGAATCCCCTGCCTCTTTAAAACCAGAGAATCGCGAGGAGGTGGAGACATCCTCCTCCACCAGCAACATGGAGCACCGAACAGAGGTGGAGAAACTGAAGACCGAACTGAAGCAGGTGGCTGGGATCAGTGAGTTGGCCAAACCGGGCTCACCCATCGATCCCAATCTCACGGCCCATTTGCAAAGATTATCCCAGCTGATCGATGGACTGCAGCAGACCTACCAGAAGACGGATAAACCGCAGGCGGAGATGCGTCCGGATCAGTTGAATGCCTTCTTGGCTCACTTTGATATCAAGAATCGTTACGAGATGATGAATCCCATGGATCAGGGTAAGACTACTCCTAGTAGCACCACCACTAGCACCACCGAGGCACCCAGAACCACGCCAAAGCTACCGGAACCCCATGTGAATAAGACCCGCCTGCAGGAGCACTTGAGTCACCATCGACTGGAACCGGAAACCAAACTGATGCTGAGCAATGCACTGCCCTATTCTGCACATGGAACCAGTGGTCAGGGTTATGCCAACTCGCAGATAGTCGTCAATCGTCCCGAGGGATCTGTGATGTTTGCCCTTCCACCCAATTATGGAATGAGCCAGGAGCAGAGTGCCTTCTCCAGCCAACATCATTCTCTCCAGAGTCACGAGTACAGCGATCATGAACCGAAAATATCAGAGGATACCTTGAAAACGGTTCTAGAACTATCCAAGCAAATGATAGCCGCTCAAAATATGCCCAAAGTTCTGCCCCAACCGGGATTTAATGCTGGCTATTATCAGCCGATTTTACAGCCGGTATTCGTTAGCCCCCAAGGTAATCCCTTCCAGCAATATTATGGCATGCCACCTCCATTGAATCCCCATTATAATTACAACAATAAGAAGCACTCTTCTGGGGGAAGTTCCTCCAACAATGGTTACAACAAACCCAGCACCACCATCATACACAACAATGTGATACCTGTACATTTATCCAGCACAAGTTCGGGTGAGAAGGAGGTTTTGGATACATATGGTCATAGTCTGGGGGTATATCCCAGTATGGATAAGCATGTGACGGGTGAAATGGAGTATATGACTACAGCAAGACCCATTTCGATCACAACTTCAGCTACTACCTATGGATCCCAGTCCCCATTTGCCAGTGATTATACCTTAACTACTCCACGACCCTTTGAACATCAACCCTCGGCAGCCACAGTGGCCACCTACTATACACCCAGTCCTCATTTGGGAGAACACAATGCCAATAGGGTTTACCAAGCCACCGAATCATATCAATCGATGAATATGCCGCGACCCATGGACATGTTTCCGGGACAAATCGATGCGGATAGGGTGAGCATACGGCCCAATTCGCAGAAAATCGAAAGCATGGAGATGATGGACGAAGATCTGATTAAGGCCAACTATCAGAGTGGGAATGGAAATGGTAATGGCAACCAGAATGGGAACACTCTTCCTCACGTACTGACCTACAGCAGCGACATGAGCCAGCAATTAGCACCTGGCAATGGCTATCTGGAGCAGAGTTATAACCACCAGCAGCAGCAGAATCATCATCATCCATATATGCCCAGGCCCAGGCCCACGATGAGCAGCAGTATCTACAGCGATTCGGATGGCAATATGGAGATGAGCAGCATGTTTACCAGTAATCCTAGTCTAAACCCCTTTAAGGCCAGCACCAATGCGCCATCTAACGGACAGTTGGTGAACTTCAATGGGAATTTCATCAGTCTAGATGTCTTTCAGAAATCTATACTACCACTAATGACCAAATCGCAGTCGGCACTCAATGAACTGGGCAATGTGGAGGTCATCACTTGCCAGGCGGGCGTCAGGCAACCGAATCAAACGGATTGCACCCGCTACTTCGTTTGCAGCAAAAAGGATGGGAAGGTCCTTTCCTACTCCTGTCCACCCTATACGGGTTTCAATAAGCAGACCAGGATCTGCGATGCCCCCACCTATGCGCAGTGTGGCAATGTGATGCCTGCTTTTAGTGGTTATACAATAGACACCAACAGGAGACTCCAGATGGAGGCCATCAAGATGCTGAGTGAGGCAAAGAGGAGGCAAGAGGCTGCTTTAAAAGCACAGAGCATAGCGAATCTCCTGCAGCATTATGGAGGCAATCAGCAGGGATCACCTGGCATCTCGGCGAACATAGAAAGCGATCCCTTGGACTCGTATGTGGTTAACCTGCCGGAAGTTAGCCTGGCCACCACCACAACCAGCAGACCCACCATCATCCAGGCTGGCAATAATTTGGTGGGCAGCTCCTCATCGCCCGCCAAGAAGAGGAAATACTACTGCAAGGAGGGCGACAAGATACCCGATCAGACCTCCATTTCCAGCTACTTTGTGTGCTACAAGAACGCGCAGGGCCAGATGAAGGGCCACAAGATGAGCTGCTCCAAGAGCCTGCTCTTCTGCCCCAAGACCCTCATGTGCACCCTCGCCTCCAAATGTACGGACTAATCTTTTAAGCCAGCCGAAATTGTTGAGAATTTTTCCACATTTGCCACCTTAAGTTACTAGTTTCTAGCCGCTAAGTTATTTATTCTAGTTTTAGTTGACGACCGCAACGAGACCTATTAAACTTTTCGAAAAACCCAAAAAAACTCTGTATTTCTTTTCTTTGGGAAAGTTTCTCGGCTTGTTCTAGACCAAATAAGACCTTGCCCTTCCGGTTTCTGGGGCTTCGGCTGGAAAAACTGACCTTCTTGAATGGCCCTACAAACGTGATATATGCCAGGCGGTCACCAAAAGTCAGGAGCGGAGTGGGGTCTATGGGGGTTTATTGGAAAAAATAAAATAAGGAATAAAAAATGTACAATTTCCCTTACTTATCTTTATGTAATATCTCTGTTAATCGCGAACAAGTTTAAAACACTTCTTATAATGTCTTTTTTAGTACACCCACTCACGGGAAAAACCTGTTAGGAAAGTGTCATAAACAGCAACACTTGAATAATATAATATTTATTATATATATAAGCAATGTGGAGTGTTATAAAATAACCAACAAAGTTCCCACACTAAATTAATTAAAATCACGTAAATGTTCTTTACCCTTTGATTCGATTCCGTCCCTGTTTTTGGTCACTGACCAAGGTAGCTTAAAAGATTTTCACTTTTTTAATGTCTCCATGAAGCTTTTACTTGTTTATGTTTTTAGTGCGCTGCCCAAATGGTCATTATTACATGAAACATGAAACAGTTGACATTTACGCTCGTGCAGTCAAGATCTAGTTTAATTATAAGCTCACAAGTGTGGCATAAAAAATTAGTGCAAATGTACTGGGCAAATATTTTATTGTTAACCTGTTAACACTGTTTTGGTAGTACGTCAAATTTGCAAATATTAATGAATAAATAAGAGTTAGCGAACTTTATGAAAGTAAATTAAACATTGACTTTAATTCATTACGTGTTTATATTTCTTCTTTAAAGCGTAGTTATTTTAAGGTATTCAGAAAAACAGTAAAGAAATATAAAATGCAAAAAAATTTGTCGTCGACAAAAAAAAAGTAATTTGCATCGGCCGGGAATCGAACCCGGGCCGCCCGCGTGGCAGGCGAGCATTCTACCACTGAACCACCGATGCTTGTATGAGGGGTGTCCAAACGTCAATATATACTTACGTGACTGAACCAACTTCACTTATATGTGCTGTATCTAAAAATAGCTCTTATCTTAAGACGACTGACATCCCCTAACTTTTTTATTTAAAATATACAATTTCCCAATAGAACTAAAAATATATGGTAACAATAAATATGGAAAACATTTTATTTCTATTTCCTAATTTATGATTTTATTAATTTTATAATGAAAAATGCTTGGAATATTTTTAATTGTGATCTTATTAAAGAAAATATTTATAAATTGGAAAACTGAAAGATTTCAAAAATGGTTATCTTTTTGTAAATTAGGGTTAACCCCACCAAAAAAACACTTGTAAGTTTAACCTTCGGGTCGGAGATTTTTCTTTTCGGGCTTTCTTCTGATTCTTGCATTTCACTTTCATCTGAGCCTCCCGAAAGCTATTACCCAACAGCCCACGAAGATGCTGCTTCTGACCCTGCCCGGAGAGATTTGGCTTTTGGCGCGCGTGCCCCTCTAGAAAGTGACAGTTTCGGTGCACACTTCTAGGTAAAGTCCACTTTCTCCTTCGACGGCACTCGGCCCTTCCGTGCTATCCATACTCTAATTAGTTGCTAATTATTGTTTAAATGCCGACGCACACACATTTGGGCACACTTGACTGGATGAGCACGCGTTTTGACGGCTAGAAATTATTGATTGGCCCCCCAGTAATTTGTCACTCACGCTCCTCCCAACTCTCACTGGGCCACACATTGTATAAATCTAGTCATGAAAGACCCCAAACCGAAGTACAGTTCACAGAAGTTACGCTTTTCCATCGGCACTTTTCTATGGTTGAGTCGGGGACTTGCGTAACCCTCCCTGAGTTCATTGGCTTTCCTCGAAGTCGAGTTTCTGCAGGTGACCTCCAGGGACCTTGGAAAGAAAGTTGTACGACTCTTACGACACTGGTTTCTGGAGTGTTAATAAAATTAGATAAATTATATAAGTGCATGTATCATAAATTACTTTAAAAACTTAGGGCAAAGAGAATATAACTAGTGATTATATTCTCATTGATTAGGGGAAGTCAATTGTCTTTAGATAAGAGCTATTTTTAGATACAGCACATATGCGTGAAGTTGGTTCAGTCACGGTAGTATATATTGACGTTTGGACGCCTTTCGCACAAGCATCGGTGGTTCAGTGGTAGAATGCTCGCCTGCCACGCGGGCGGCCCGGGTTCGATTCCCGGCCGATGCAAATTATTTTTTTCTTTTTTAAACTTTATTGATTTCTATATTTCTACTGTTCGCTAACTCTTATTCATAGAAATTACTTTAAACCGTACTCCCACCCCTAATTTATTAAAAATAAAACCAGTCACAAAACTTCCGTTCTAAACAGTAGATTTTTATTGTTTTTTAACCATTTGAACCAACCTTCCGCCACACCGATTGATATATAAGCTTTTTAGAGTTCTCTCAACAACTACAATTCCATTACATTTACTAAATTTTAATTTGTATGACATCTTTGATTTTTGCTTTGCGATTCAACAACATTTAAAAACTACGATTCAACATTTGCTTCCACATATTGCTTTTAAGGAGAGCACAGCGAGGGAGAAGGATTTGGGATTGTATTCGAGTTGGGCCACAATTTGGCAATATATATTTGGTTTTTGGTTTTTCATTAGAAGAAATGCATATGAACATTGCTGTCTGTGAATGTTTTGACAATATATAACGTTTACAATTAGTTTTAAGTACAGTATGCTACAAACTCTTGGGTTTTCCTCCTGGGGTTCCTTACACAGCGCAACTAACAATTAATTAGAGTAGATTTTCTTTTGGTTTTAATGACTACTTATTTTGCTTTACCCATAAAGGTAGTTTAAAAGTTTCCCATTACGCTTAGGTTGCATTAGTCTATAATACAATTATCACATTCCTTTTGATGATGATATATACTCGGTTTTAATTTGCATCTTGACTCGATTTAAAACTACACTCGCTACGCCGGCTAATCCGAGATAATTATTGCTTAAGGGATCAATCTCCCGCAGGGGGATAATAATATTTCTGGCCAGGGACTGAATTTAATTGCGATTTATCACTAGGCAGGCTTACGGACTAGGTCACTTAGTTGCTAGCGAGACATTTAAAGCGCACAAAAAGGAACACAGTAGCGTAGCAGACGAAAATCGAGGGGCTTTCCCCCCTCTATATCCTCTATAAGTTTGCAACCATCATCATCTAGACCATGCCGAATCCCTCGCTGCCCTCGCTGATGGCCAAAAGCAGCGACTTTTCGAACTGCTCGTAGCTCTCGTAGTCCGGCAGGCACAGCTGGTTGAAGCTGTAATCGAAAAAGTTTCGTTTTTAGCGAGCGGAAAGATTAAAAACAAATAAATTCCGGATGGGCGAAAGTTTTAACCAACCAGGTGTGCGCAGTGGGCAGATTGCCGAAGGTCGGGGCCGCCGTTATCTGGAACTGCGGATTCAGCTCCTGGAATCCCCCGGGCGGCAGCTGGGAGCAGCCCGTGGTGAACTGCAGCAGCCGGGCCATCTCCGTCTGGCTGAAGTTGCTCACTCCGGCCCAAAACCAGGCCAAAACACGCCGAAACTCAGCCGAATTGCCATTGGCGATGTGGTGCGACTTGAAGTCACTGATGGAATACTCCCCAGTCCCGCACATCAGCAGCTTTAGAAATAAAAATAATTATTTACAGGTGTGTTTACTTATTTCTACTTTCAAAACCCACCTCCAGTTCGTTCTCATCAAAGATACTCAGTAGATTATCCGGTATAATGGAGTTCAGACCCTTCAGGAAACTATCCACCTCGTCCTTGACACTGTTGCACAGACGCTGCTGGGCCAAGGAGTCCAGGTACTGGTTCTTGGTGGCATTGGTCACTCTAGTCTTGGCCCCGTTGGGAATCAGTTCGATGGTCTTGCTCAGCTGGCCACTGCTGCAATCGTACATCTCCTCCACGAAGTACAGCTCCAGGGTGTCCGTGGCATCCAGATCGGTGTCCAGGATGTACTTGATCTTGGACAGATACAAGTCGGGGTCATCTTGCTCAAAGTACTGTAAAATATAGAATATATGATAGCAATAAATATCTTACTTTACAATATTTGTTAAAAAAAATACTACACTCGGTATTTGAAAACCGTATATTTATAACTTTTAAGCAATGATAAAATATTAAGTTCAAATGTTTGAAATTCAGACTTTGAGTCATCAATTTTACATTAAATTAATGTCATTACTTCATTCGGTATTTTAAAACAGTATTTTTATAACTTTTATGCAATGATAAAATATGAAGTTGATATGTTTGAATCATCAATTTGACATTTAATTAATGTCATTACTACATTCGGTATTTTAAACCCGTACTTTTACATTTTTTATGCAAAAAATCAAGTTGATATGTTTGAATCATCAATTTTTATGCAATGATAAAATATCAAGTTGATATGTTTAAATCATCAATTTGACATTAAATTAATGTCATTAATCATATCGGCTTTTTATTGATGTGAAATAAGGTAGAAATTTGTTTTCCGTGTACAACTTACCTTATAGTGCACTCTAAGGCCAATCAGTTGGGCCAAGAAGGAGCGACTGAATCTGGCCCTGACCAACTGGCGATAGCTTCCGCCCAGAGCGCTCTCGAACAGGCACTTGCCCACCATCTTGCCGGCGAACTCGAAGTGCTTCAGCTTCAGATGCGCCGGTCGCGTGGGATTCGGATGGACCAGCGCCTGGTGCTTGTCGTGGAAGGTGCAGAAGAGCCCGCCGCGGGCATCGAAGAGGGCGCTGCAGACCAGCTCGAACCACTCCCGCCTCAGGCCGCCCCAGTCGATGCCCTGCTCGC